TCGGGGCCTCCCCACCTCGCTGGGCTCCATCTCCGACCTCATCTACAGTGCAGCCATCACCAACCTGGGAGAGCCGTAGCTGTGCAGGGATCTCTGGGCACTAGGGACCCCCCTGGCATCGAGTTCCCCCCGGATTAGCACCACGATTTCATTAGGGTGTGGAATTACTGCCGGTCCCGAAGGTCCCGAGGATGTCATCCAATATCCTAAATGCCGGTGCCGCCGCGGTGGGGGCAGGTCCCATCAGCCCCCTAATACCGACTAATCTTTTGGAAAAAATACCTTAATCTGAGGCCGTATCCACGGATGATTGTGGCGCGGCCGCCCCTAATCCGCAGGCACGTTCGCAGGTGCCGGCAGATCTCCCCGTATCGGATATTAAACCGTGTTTCCAGAGGGGCTTAGCTGCCATCAGAGCATTAATCACCGTGTCCAGCCCTGGCAGGATGCCCACCCGGCAGGTGTCCGTGTCCCCAGGGCCCAGTGGGGCCGGCGTGGGTACCCTCTCCCCACTGTGGGTACTCCGAGCTGGTTCTGCTCTGTGGCACCCGAGAAGCTCCTGGGCTCAGTGTTGGGGTGCATCCCCTCCTTACCCCCAGAAGCTGGGCATCCTTTGGCAGAGGGTTGGGAGCACCATGCATCCCTCACTGTGCCACCTACAGCTTCTGCTCCTCCCAAGGTACTGACAGCCACAGGGCCACGGCTCAGGTGGGACAGGTGCTGACCCCAGCATGTCTGTGCTGGATGCTGTCATATTCCTGCATGGATCTGTGTGGATGGGGAAAGGGCTCTCCACAAAATATGAGCTGATTTGGGCGCTGCCATCTGAGTCATAAAGGAGAAACGCTTCCCAAAAGCGGGTGAGGGAGCAGGCAGAGTAGTGAAGGCAGGTAAAGGCAGGTTAACAGGACATGAGCAGGATGTGGGATGCAGAGGAAGGGAAGATTCACAGCTCTCTGTGGTGTCTTTTAGATGCCAGGTCGGCATTCTGCATACCAGTGGGTATCTCCCACCACGCAGGACAAAGGTTACAAACACACGTTGTTATTTATTTCCAGAACAAAAGGACAAGAACATCACAGGAGAACTGGGATGACGGGAGCTGATGCCCCTCTCCATGCTGGGGTGGTCAGAGTCCACAGCCATTCCCTCTCCTGTTCTGCAGCTGCAGGATTTTCAATCCAAGATTCATTTCAGGAAGCAATGGACGAGCCTGACGAGCGCAGCAGTATTCCCTCAGCAGGTACAAACAGATGGAAGAAGATAAACCTGTCCCAAATTAATGGCTCCTGGGGAGGTCAAAATCCTCCAGCACAAGGGCCACAGCTCCTGGTCATAGCTTCCCAAGGTCCCCTTCGAGGGTCCGCACCATCACGTACAGCTCAGCCAAGCCCACCACCGAGGCCACGATGACAGCCGACAGGACACGCTGGGGACACAGAGAGAGGAGTGATGTGGGTGTGTGCTGGCAGTGCCAGTCCTGCCTGGCCAGCATGGAGTGTGCTGCAGGTGTGCTCGGGGGCCGCGGGCGCTCACCGCTGCGGTCTCTGCGAAGATGTACTGGCTGCCCAGGTATGTGCAGGCAAAGGAGGCCACCACGGTGACAATGAAGTTGAGTACGGTGATAACAACAGCCTTCACAGAGCGAACTGATAGAGAGAATGGGCAAAGTGGTTGTTGTTAGGTAAGGCTGGGGAGTAAGGCTGGGTACAAGGTGTAATTTTGCTATGGAGTTGGCCTGGGGCTGCCTCAGCTAGGATACAGGAATCCTGGAGGAGTCACACGCTTGATGCCTCCAGAAATATTGGTAAGAATGACCAACAGGTTACTGCACTCAAGGAACACTTCAGTGCATGAAAACCTTCTGGTGAGATATTTGGGGAGGGAAGGGCTGTCTGATGTCAATAGCTGGAAATGGAACAGTTCCCATGACTGACCTGTAGGCACACACTGCCAGGTGTCAGCAGGACAGGCAGCCACTCACCTTGCCTCCCAAATTCAGCCAATGGCCCATTTGTCTCCTGAAAGAAGGGATTAAAACAACTTGTGATCAGATGTATTTTGATGTTAATAATAACATTATTATTGTTGTGTGTGAAGAATAAAAGCAATGCCAATGTCCTGTCTGTCCTCAAGGCCTGATCTGAGGTTCAGAGAGGTTTGGGGGGGTCCTGGCAGTGGGTGGGGGAGCTGTGGGGGAGCAGCAGTTCCACAGCACTTTGGTTTCTCTGGGTCTTTGTTTGTGGTCTGATTCAAGGCTATTCGAGAAGAGATTGATTCTAATTGAAGCACTTCTCTGAGTGAGAGTGTTTCCTTGCATGTGGGTTTTCTGCTGCAGGTTTGTTTCTATTAGAGACACAGAAAGGTCTCACCTTGTCACCTATGCTCACACACGTGGCAAGAACAAGGTGGTGTCAAGCTCTGTAACATGGTTATGTGACTTCAAACTCTAGATATGGGGAGTGGCAGGGAAGAAGATGTGATGAGCACGTAAGTGTGGGAACACTGCTCTGCTGTTTGAGGGATGTGGCTGTCATTCCTACCCAGCTCTGCTAAAACCATCCTAGATCATAGACCACAGGATGGTTTGGGTTGGGAGGGACCTTAAAGCTCATCTCATTCCACCCCTGTGCCATGGGCAGGGACACCTTCCACCAGTCCAGGTTGCTCCAAGTCCTGTCCAATCTGGAATGGCCAAGCTTGGCAGAGAGCAAAGCAGATCTTCCCCCAAGAGTTAACAGGAGGAAATGTACAGGGACATAAACACACAGGGATGCGAGGTAGAGTGTGCAGAATGGATAACAGTCTAGGATCACAAGGAATGCCAGCAGGA